AAATTAGTTCTAAGAAGACACACCTCATCTGGTTACTAGGATGAGTCATATTGAAGGGAGACCGTGACACGTCCCTAACATTACTATTCCGGGGATTTCCCCCTTAGTGTAATTGCAGGCATAATTCATTCTCACTCCTGGACTGAAAGGGTACTAGCAAGTCATTTTTGAGCTGGATGCTTCCAAAGATACATCAAACACTAAAAAACATTTCAAATCAGAGTAAATTCTTCTTAATGATATGTAACTCACAAACCACTTAATCTAGTTTCTTTGAACTTTTCAGAAAAATAAATCTTTTGCTTTTGGAGTACAGGTCACAATTTTTAGGACAAACCAGTTATCCTACGGCAATGAGGCTGAAATAGGACTATTAGTGGAACCAGACTCTAACTTTTACTGTAGAGCTGTGGCAAATGATCCATAATATGAATCACTTCACTCACGACTGACATGCAATCACCTATGGAATTTAATATAACAAATGGGTTTCTAAGAGCACCCATTAGTACTTCATGGGTGAAATCCTGGTTCCATGACTTCAGTGGGACCAGGATTTCTTTCCATATGTTATGTTAAAACCATATTCTTTTGAAATTGCACAGGGAAAGACAGGTAACTCAAATGTAATTTTATAAATAAGCATTTACAGAGGATACAATGGTTAAAACCCCTGCCCTTGCAAAAAGTGTCTTAGAACTTTAATTTATTTTTATTTGCCTGAAAATGTGACCAGTATACAGAAAATTTATATCTATATCAGAATGCAGGTAGACAGGAAATTGTGTACCTTTTAGTACTTGATCCTGCCTATTTAGCAGAAAATGTAGCTAAGATATAGTAAGTGTCACAACACATGATTAGAAATCACATCCTAAACAGTATATTTTAATATCTCTAGTGACAGATTAATAGAAGCAACTACATTCACATACATATTTGTTAAGAAATTTATTTAAAAGAGCAAAATCATATAAGTGTTAAAAATGCAGGGAGAAGGAGATGATAAACAAGTCGTAATATCAATGGATAGTTGTCACCCAGACGTAGTATGGAAGAAAAACTGTGCTGGCTTAGAACCTGCTCAGTTGTTTAGATTGCCTGTTTTGTCTATATTGTCTTCACTAAGTCAGATAATTAGTAATGGTAGCCACTGTGGGAAATATTATGGTTGAATTTATAGTGAATAAGTTTGGACAGACCAGGGTAACACTGAGTAGCCTGGCTGGCTTTGGCCTACTGTTTGCTTGGCATAAGTGTGGCTTTGCTGATCTGTTGATCTGTAAACTTGCTCAATGATTCTTACAGCTGCTGTGTAGCATATGATGTTTTGACCACAGAATGTATCTAAGTTGGAGGATATTACATAGATAAGAGGACGTTATCAGTACAACTGATATACCGAAAGTACTGCCAAAGGATGATTAAGGAAAAACAGAAATGTCCTTACATTGAGTAAGAGGTAGATGGCCTGGTCAGCATGCATGATCAGTGCATGATCAATGGAAATAAACCAATGGGAAAAGAAATATGATACATGAAAATAGTGTAGACAGCAAAAGCTATGTAAACTGAAGTTTGCACATGCACATTGTGTGGGTTATATAAGATGCAGTGCTTAATGTTGACTGAATGATGATACAAGTTGGACAGGTATATCTTACTGTGTAAGGGGATAGATGGAGAGTCACAGGAGAAATCCATCATGACCCACCTAAAGCCCAGGAGAAGGTAACTAATCAACTAATCATTTTTTCCCCCGTTTCACTGTCATTTTTGCTTTAATACTAATTGTAACTGTATAGTATGGTTTTGGTTCAAATAAAGGTTAAATTATTAAACCTGAATGTCTTGGCCCTAGTATGTTAAATTTCACCCAATGCCACTAAGTGAATCAACATTTACTGTGTTAAATTTATATTTACAATGGTATTAGTGGTATCTTATCCAGCATATGGGAAATACTGCCATAAATTCAAATACATTGGCATACTATATGCTGGTTGAGATATGCTGGATGATTTAGCCACACATTTTCCATTAACTTAAATTTCACTGTTCTTTTTGTTACTGGCAACCACTTGTTGAATATAGCACTTCATTTCAGTCATTCAAATGAGAAAACGGCAATTTACATCAACAGATGAAAGTTTCTATTCTAAGTAACAACAACCTTATTTTATAGGGTTCACTTCTTCAAAGAAACACATTTGTTGTGAATTCATTATAGTGGAGATAAAACTAAATTCATAGTGCTATGCTAATGCTTCTTGAATTTGGGGCAAATCATGCTACAAACAGTTCTGCGATAGAAACAAAAGGTTTGTTCTTGCCTGTAAAATTGCATAAATGAGTAAAAATAACAGCCCTTACCTATCTTGTGTTGATCCCTATTCAAGATTAAAATCTCAAAGTGAATGAAAGGTGACAGGAAGGTCTTTTGACTTATAAACATGTTGTGTTAAATTGTTGTTATACTTTCAGAAAAATGGTGTGAACTGAGTTTCTAGGAAATAAAAGAACTGCTGATTAGGGATTTTTCAAGGCTTCTTGTCAGATAACATGGGTTGTTATAGTAACACAGCAGAATGTTTTAAAAATGTGTTTTGCTTGTCAATTTTGATTGGATAAGGTTGACATCTTTAGGATGTTGATTTTCTAGGAATTTGACAATGCATAGAACTCAGAATGGAAGCAACCTTTTACCACAGAGGCTGAAGACCATCAGGCTCATTACCACATAGGCCATCATCATCATATCTACCAACTATACCACCATACTCTGGGACGCAGAGATTTACCATCACACCTTTTTCCTGATCCTGAAAGATGCTCTGGTCAAATCAGAGGAGAAGGAAAGGAATTGTATGACATCACCATTTCTATGGCTTTGTCCTGGGCAACTCTGAAAATGTGAGTTCCCTGCTTTCCCTTCTTCCACACAATGCATCAACTTCTACCCTCACCTTATTCCTCTTATGCCATTTTGATTGGAGCCAGCTAGAGAACTGAGACATTTCAAACAAAAAAAAAATCTTTATTTGAAAATATTTGATTGAATGTTTTCATTTTCTCCCCATGGGAAGATTTCTTTGTTTTGGCTTGATACTTCGCAATGATTTTTTTGTTTGTTTGTTTTCACACAAATTGTCATTTTGCTTTGTATTTTTTTAAAAAATAAACAAAACAATGTTTAAAGTCCATTTAAAAAATGTCATTTTGGAAATTCCTGTGGCAAAACTGAAATTATTTGTCAAAATCGACATTTTCCTGCAAAAAAAAAACATAAATGTTTCACTAAGACTCTATTTTTTATGGGAAAACTGTCCAAATAAAAGACTTCAGTCAGTTCTATTTTGTTCCTCTTTTTACCTGTTGTCTAGTAAGATTATTTAACAAAACGGTGGGCACTAATGTTGTAAACAACCTGTACACAACAAAACTTATCTGTTGTCTAATAAGAGAAAAAACAGGAAGGTACTTCAAGAACATGAGAGGTACTGCATAAAACTGACTCTTTTACTCAACAAGAACATTTGCTGCCATTTCAGAGATGGTTAAATGAAGATTTTTCCTTCTGAATAGCTGCATACAGAGAGATGCAGAGAGTATTAAAGTGAAGATTTATGTGATCTCTTGAATTTTAAAAGTGTGGCAGGGTTGTGCATGTGTATACATTTTAAATAAATGTGAAGAAATTGTGCAGCAAACAAAACAAAGTCCACAGAACAAAACTCCAAACTCATAATTATTGTTAATGTTGTGGCAATACAAAGGTAACAAACAGGGTAAACTAAAATTACAATATGCCAAAAATCCTATTCTCTCCTCATAGCCATCTACTGAATAAATGATAAAATTTTACTTTTGCATTTTTATATTATGTTAATCTTCTTCTTCTTTAGTATTGGCAAGAACTAAAGAATTGAAAAAAAAATCTTTCATATGGATTTTTAAATAACTATTTTCCTTCTGTCTGTCTCTCTTCACATCTTATTTATAATAAACTAGATCTGGGGGGACAAATGGCTGATATTTTTTCACCAAAATTGCAAATTTGGGTTGATTGAAACATTTTGCAAATTTCCATGAAATTCAGCAAATTGTTTTAGTTAAAAAAAAATCTGAAAAAGTCAAACCATTTTATTTCAGCATTTTTAAACAAAACATATTAATTTTCTATTCAAAATTACTTTTTCTTTGAAATGTATTTAATTTTTATATAAAAACATTTACAAGGCTCAAAAATGAAAGAAGCATTTTTTTCAAACTTAACCTGTTTTTTTTATTTTTAATTTTTCATTTTCCCCCTCTTCATGTTGATCTGATTTTGGGTTTTCCTGTTACAGCTAGTGAAGCAAAAATCAGTTGTTCATACAGTTCTGCAATAAGCTAAAAATGAAGGGTATTAATTTATTATACAGATCACATACTGTAACATATACAATATCCATATTTGGAAGCCATGGCTTCCATTAAATTGAATTAGGGGTCTTGTGAATTTAAAATGATTACCAGTGTCATTATTGTCATTGGGTAAACAGGTTCATATTTAGGGTCTGCCATATTGAGGGTATTGTATGAAATGAAAGATGCTTCTTGCAGCAAATTTTTCTCATGCTTGTAAGTTGTCACCAAGTAAAATTTGGTCTTTTCTAATCCAATTGTAATAACTCAAATGTCACTTTCAGATTATCCAAGGAGAGCATTGCCAGGTAATTGGCAGAATACTACTTATTATTTGGTAGGATTAATGAAAGTAGCTTCTTTCTGCTGATGGTTAAAGCAGATTGATAAAAGGAGGAGGGAGAGGACTGCATACTCAAGGAGGAGGAAGAGCTCTCTCTCTCTTCTTTTAGTAGAGGAAGGAGAGCTATGCTTTCTTTCCCTATCCTTTTAACCTCTATTGATCTTGTCATTTGCATGCATCCCCAAGCTGTTGAGATTTATGGCAGTTCCTTCAATGGTATCAAATAAAAGAATACAAATAAACTCCATCATCATGTGCCCGCATTACAATTTGTATTTTTGTTTACACCAAGTCTACTCACTTATCTCATTAATCATCTTCCTTTAAGAATTATTCATATAACAACTCATTCCATGTCTGACTCTCATATTCCAACATCCACAATTGTATTTGAATCAGGTAAGGTATAATTATGTTTTATTGGATTACAGGCAATTCATTTTTATTATTACTTCAATCAACATGGCAAATGCAGAAACATTTCATTTTTACAGATCTGCCAAACAAACCATATTTGAATTTAGGAGTAATCTCTTGGAAACATATTCTCAAATTATACTGTTACAAATTCATAATGTTTATGGGTCTATATATGTATGTGTGCATAAGATCTGTGTTATTTTTCAGAGCATTAGAAAAATGTAAATCCAAGAAATATCTATGCTAACAAACTAGCTAGCCAAAAGCCAACAATTAATCATCACAGAGATATACGTTAAGAATACATTGTTTAATTTCACATTCCCCAGTTTTATACAGACTTTTTTTACCCATTGTCTATGATAATTTACACATCAAATCACTTTTGTTAAGTTTGGAACTTAGACTCTCAAAAATAAGAATACACCAGCTCTAGATCAAGAAATTCTTTCTCCCTCCTTCCCCTACCCCAGACAAAGTCAAAGTGTTATTGTGTTCTGAAATGTGACTATGTAAATGGGGCACTGCCTTAGGCCACAGTCCTGTAAAGACTTATGCATGTGGGTAGCTTTAAGTCCATGAGTGGTCCCATTGAATTCAATGGATCATTTTCATGGGCAGAAGTTTACAGGGTCAGGTCCTTACCAAATCTTCTCTCTTGCATGCATTCAGAATCATATGGTGTGAATTATCAATTATATGAAAGTCCTTTTGCAGCAGAGCACAGACTTCGACTACTTGAGCTGCATATCAGGCTACTATGTGCACCAGGCAAAACAGAGAATGCAACGCACACTTTGCCACTGGCTTACATAACTATTTGCTAGACAGCAATAGAAAGAGAAGTAGGAATCTCCCATTTCTGGTTCTATTCCTGGCTCTGGAGGGGGTATGGGTATCTGGTAGTTGCATACAGCAAAGAGGTTTGGCACTTTTATTCTTAAAAAGTGTGGCTATGTGAATATTAGCAATAGGGTTCTATTTTGAGATCTGCCAGGAGTGACCTATCAGGTGGACAGAAAGCTGGCTAGATTGTTGGGCTCAACTGGTAGTGATCAACAGCTCAATGTCTAGTTGGCAGCCGGTATCAAGCAGAGTGCCCCAGGGATTGGTCCTGAGCCAGTTTTGTTCAATATCTTTATCAGTGATCTGGATGATAGGATTAATTGCACCCTCAGCAGGTTTGCAGATGACACTAAACTGGGGGGAGAGGTGGATACTCTGAAGGGTAGGGGTAGGGTCCAGAGTGACCTAGACAAATTGGAGGCTTGGGCCAAAATAAATCTGATGAGGTTCAAGGAGGACAAGTGCAGAGTCTTGCACTTAGTAAGGAAGAATCCCATGCACCGCTACAGGCTGGGGACTGACTGGCTAAGCAACAGTTCTGTAGAAAAGTACCTGGGGATTACAATGGATGAGAAGTTGGATATGAGTCAGCAGTGTTCCCTTGTTGCCAGAAGGCCAACGGCATATTGGGCTGTATTAATAAGAGCATTGCCAGTAGATCGAGGGAGGTGATTATTCCCCTCTATTTGGCATTGGTGAGGCCACACCTGGAGTATTGTGTCCAGTTTTACGGAAGGGATGTGGACTAATTGGAGAGAGTCCAGTGGAAGGCAACAAAAATTATTAGGGGGATGGGGTACATGTCTTAAAGGGAGAGGCTGAGGGAACTGGGGTTATTTAGTCTGCAGAAGAGAAGTGTGTGTGTGCGGGGGGGGGGGGGAGGAGGGGATTTGGTAGCAGCCTTCAACTACCTAAAGTGGGGTTCCAAAGAAGTTGGAGCTTGGCTGTTCTTAGTGGTGGCAGATGACAGAACAAGGAGCAATGGTTTCAAGTTGCAGTGGGGGAGGTCTAGGTTGGATATTAGGAAACGTTATTTCATTAGGAGGGTGGTGAAGCACTGGAATGGGTTACCTAGGGAGGTGATGGAATCTCCATCCTTAGAGGTTTTTAAGGCCTGGCTTGACAAAGCCATGGCTCAGATGATTTGTTGGTGTTGTTACTGCTTTGAGCAGAGGATTGGACTGGATGACCTCCTGAGGTCTCTTCCAACCCTAATATTCTATGATTTTATGATCTTGTGCACCTCTCTGTTACCCCATTAGGGAAATGATACTTGCCTCCCTCCTAAAGTATTGGTATGACAAAGTGTACCCCTATATTCAACACTTTTACAAGACTATAATGCTTTTTTTTTTTACAAAGTATGCCTGGTGAGGTATCATTTGAAAACTCATAATGTGCAGAACATTATTGTCCTGGTAAAATATGTGTGGCAACATTGTATGTAAAGTTATAAGATTCTACTGTATGACCTTACTGAGACATGCTCAAAGGTTAGAAAAGTGGGCAGAAAACCGGTTCTTCTGAGACAATAAGCAAACTGATGCCTCTACAAGGTGTCAGTATAATCACATAGATTATCACTTGGTTAAGCAGCCATTCTTTACCAGGAAGAAGGGTGTGAGTGAGGAATTTACATCTTGGCAAACAGACTTGCTGTTGCCTGAACTGCTGAAGAAGATTCTCAAAAAGAGAAATACTAAAAGAAGGGAGAACAGAGAACCCAAATCACCTCTCTCCCCTAATCTCTACTTATGGCATCAACAACATTTGAAAGACAAAAAAAGCATAACTGAACAGGGGGAGGGGTCCTGGTTGGGAAGGAATCTATCCAGAATGTTGTAAGCACATGGTAATTTTTGCTTTAAGTTCATTTAGCTTGTTAAATTAGGTATTCGTTTGCATTTTACCTTTTATTTCTTTGTAACAAATTCTGACTTTTATGCCTTGTTATTTGTAATCACTTAAAATCTATCTTTCTGTAGTTAATAAACTTCTTTTATTGTTTTATCTAAACCAGTATGTGTTTGGATTGAAGTGCTTGGAACCTCCATTTGTGATAACAGGGTTTCTGCATATCATTTTCTATTAATAAATTGGCAGATTTCGTCTGAACTTGTATTGTTCAGGAGAATGCTGGACAGTACAAGATGCACATTTCTGGGGACAAGTCTGGGACTGAGAATTTGCTGGTGTCACTCTGCAATATAATTCAGGAGTGACTATCTAGAACACTCACATTATTCAACTGGGAGTGATTTTGCATGCTAGAAGCAGTGTGCGAACAGGCCAGGAGCAGCTGTTCTCATAGGAAAACAGTGTGAAAGGCACTCCAGGTTGGAGGGTTGAGAGGACACAGCTGTTCAATTGTCCAGATTGTACCCTGGGGACTGTCAGAATGGGTACAAGACCTGAGTCAGTAGCACAAAGGAATATGAAGTGTGCCACATTATTAATAGCTGTTGCATTAATTTAGATGGAATAAAGGGACTCAAAGAATCAAAAGTGTTAACAAGACCCTGTTAATATCCAACATTAAGCAGTGTTAAACAAGGTTTGGGATCTGGTATACAGAGCCCTCAGCCTGTTAGTACCATGGGAAACACACCATTAAAAATCTTTTTATCCTTTTATTAAAGATACAGACAAGAAGGAAAAACAGTTAAAGCATTTGAAATTAAAATATTAAATAGGGCTTTCATTTTAACAACAGCCCTTGTTCCCTTTAACTGGAGAGAGTTTTTAGAAGGATAAAAACCACCCTTGTTTGACAGTATATTAGATGGTATCAAAAATAGTAATAGCTGTCACTTTGTGGGGAAAGAGATAAAGTTAGTTGAGCTGGGTTGGAATTGTTGCTGTTGTTGTTCAAATCCAATCCCATTTGCTCACAAGAAAAATAAAATAAGACAAACACACACGAAAGGGGAGAAAAAGAATACCAAAGATAGAAAATGAAGCTTCTGTCTCTGGTGCCACCTCCCCACTGAAAAAAACACAGAAACAGCCCACAATCTTATCAGCCACTCCAAGATCTGGCAAACTTGTACCAGCATCAGCTATTCAGGGCATTGCAGTTAGCTGCCTCTGTTCACAGGATCACAGCACTGTGGCAAAACATGCAGTCTTGACTAGTTAAGTCAAACTCTTTTCATATAGAAGGAAAAAGGAGAGAGAGAGAGAGGAGAGAGATCAGAAATGAGATGCGGAAGGAAAAGAACACACAAATTGGGATGCGAGTGACAAAGTTTCACATCCCAGGAGGTATTCAGGATTTAGGTGGAGCTGGTGGAGGTGGTGATGTCATCTGCCAACCTCTCTCTGGCCTGGTCTAGTCAGGATTAGGATGGAGGAGGTCCTGGATTCTAAGAGACGATAGGGGTGGCAGCCATGATGGGGAAGCTCGCTCCAGTAGTAATTCCCCACCACCACCAAAGTTTCTTCCTATAAGGACCCAAAAAGAGAGTTGTTGGTGAATAGCCCATCTCCTCATTACTTAGTCCACAACAAACAACATTTCCTGACGATGCAGTCCCTCCATGCCTTCTCTGTGGTTGGCGGCAACAAAACAAGACAGATCTCCAAAAAATCTGGGTTATGGAAGAAAAAATAGGATTTGGAAGGCTAAGTAAAGAGAAAGCTTGTAGTATAGGACTGGAAAGGGGTTACAAACCTCCGGACTAGTCTCTTTTCATTATTCAAGGTGAGAGAAAGTGGGTAAAGAGTGTCTCTTTAGCTATGCTGTTCTATTAAATTTCTCTGAATTGTGGATATTTCCAGTGGCAGAAAGATATCTGATATATAGCTTATTTTCCACTGAAATAGATGTCATACTTGTGCAGAAAGCTTAATTTTCCTCATTTTCCAGTTTTTGCCTTTTCCCCAGACTATTCTTTCTCTTCATCTGAGTTCTTGTGATCTGTGGCTAAAATATAATTTCCTCTGTCATGGCTGGATGAACCTGTATGGATAGCTGTTGTGAACTGGGTACTTTTATTTCGTTAGCTTACAATATGCTCTGAAAAACTAGTAGCCAAAGAAAATGAATAAAGCAGAAATTTCAGTCAAACATATTGACGAACTACTAAATGGAGGGTAAGCAGGGGACAAATGGTAAGTATACCATTGCAGTGAATCATTCAAAACAGACCAAAATACAATCAAAAGCTTCAAGGGCAAAAGCTGAAGACTGGATCATCCGGAAACATATCTACGGTTAGAAACAAAGACATATACAGTCTCCATTTTTGACACTATTAAGAAATAATATTGCATGGACCTGGGATTTTCTTGTTAATTAATTTGTTTTGTTTGTTTGTTTTTCAGAACATTTAGAGAACAGGCAGAGGCCACACAGGGAAAATTAAAGCTCAACCATTCTAATTTTCCAGTCTAGTTATGAATTTAATGGTATTTCCATGTAAAGTGCATAAGCCAGGACCTGCTCCTGTGAACTCTTGAATATAGGCTTAATATTGTGACCATGAGTATACCTGTGGACCTCAGTTGGACTAATCACTTCAATAATGGTAAATATGTTAGTAGGTCTTTACAGAGTCAGGACCCTAATCTGAGGTGACAACTGCATGGATGACAAGGGTTTTTATTTCATCCTAAAATTTCAAATGTGTTTTAAAAATATGTTAAAATATTTGAAAAATACATTTGAAAAATGACCCTCAGTGTGAGAAAAAATCAGAGAAAAAAATTAGAAAATTCTTTCTAACTCTATTTAAGGGCGTCCAGGGAAAGAAAAAGGGATTTAGTGGTGTACACACTCCCATCCACATTAAAGGCAAGTAATGCTCCCCACAGACCTTCCTCCCACATGGCGTCTCTCACTTCCCTCCAGTTCTGAGCTAGCTCCCATCTCTCCCTCAGTGATAGAATCCTAAAATCGTAGGACTGGAAGGGACCTTGAGAGGTCATCTAGTCCAGTTCCCTGCACTCATAGTAGGACTAAGTATTATCGAGACTATCCTTGACAGGTGTTTGTCTAACCTGCTCTTAAAAATCTCCAATGATAGAGATTCCACAGCCTACATAGGCAATTTATTCCAGTGTTTCACCACCCTCACATGAAGTTTTTCCTAATGTCCATCCTAAACCGCTGTGCTGCAATTTAAGTCCATTGCTTGTTGTCCTGTTCTCGGAGATTAAGGAGAATAATTTTTCTCCTTCTTCCTTGTAATAATCTGTTATGTAGTGGAAAACTATTATCACAGTCCCTCTCAGTCTTATCTTCTCCAGACCAAACAAACCCATGTTTTAAAATATTCCCTCATAGGTCTCATTTTCTAGACCTTTAATCATTTTTGTTCTTCCCTGTACTTTCTCCAATTTACCACATCTTTCCTGAAACAAGGCACCCAGATCTCTAGTTGAGGCCTAATCAGTGTGAGGCCTCCTTGAGCCTCCTTCCATCCAGCACTCAGCTCCACCAACCTCAATTTAATAATCCCACAGGTCCTTTTAGTTCTCCTCCCTCTCCTCCCCCTACTTCTCTGATCTACCTCCAGCTCCATTTCAGGCCCCCACAAGTTCTCCTTCATCTTTCCTGCTTGGTCCCCTCCAGTTCCAATCTATTCTTCCCAGTCCTTCCACACACTCCCACCCCATCAAAATGGCCATTGTTTTCATCTTGCACTCTCTCTTGAAGAGGGTGGTCTCTCCTGTCTCTGCATCTTCCCCTTTGGCCCCACACATTTCCTGATGATGCAGTCCCTCCATGCCTTCTCTATGGGTCATTGCCAGCTGCTCATACCCAGGGCCTGGGGTTACCCCAGTGATAAGAGACCCCCCCATCTCAGCCATGCCCTGAACTGGGAAGGGGGCAGTAGGACCCATTCTTCCCCAGAGGCCCCTCTGGTTGAGGCCCCATAATCTCATGGGCCCTGACATGATTGCACCACTTGTGCCATTACTCGATAGTGGTGACTCCATAGGAATCATGTTACTCAGGCCTGTGTTTGCCATTGGGGTGTCTATAGCTGATGTGGGGGTACAGGATCTTCACAAGGATGATGCTGTGACTCTGGTGGTTGCTTTCAATCCATATGAAGGGGATACATACATACATAGACACCCTTTTCCCCCCAGGTAATGATGAAGAACTCTTTCTTATTGACAATGAGGAAGAAGGCAAATCATAACTATGGGAAAAGAGCCTCATGAAGTTGTCCTCCTCTCAGGCTCATTTCTGCAGTTCTTTCCTGAGGAAAATTGTTGTTCCCTTTATTACTTCTAAAATTCTCTCTAAAATTTGTCTTGTTAGAGGAAAAGTTAATTTTGTGGGTTCAGAGATGATTAGAAGCAACTTGCATACAGACAACAAATATAAAAAGGGGAATGTTCAAAATATCTTATTCATATTAACACAGAACTAGAGTTCCTGAAATGATTTCTCTTACTCGGTTTAAATGGAGAAAATTTTCTCAAAGGAAACACTACTGTTGATTATAGACAGATCTTTCACAACTACTTGAATATGCACCAGTAATTAGAGTCAAAATGAGTCTTCCTTCAGATTAATAAGGTTTCACATGGCAAAGAGAAACTGAAGGACTACCTTGAGGGGTAAGGGAAGAAAAATAGCCAAGCTACCATCAGTCACTTACGCAATATTATCCATGTACTTATTAAAGTAAGTACATAATATAATTGTGCCCAGATACCATGGCTATCAGCGTGGGATCAAGCTCTCTCTCTCTCTCTCTCTCTCTTTCAAAAAACAAAAATAAAAAACCAAGACAAGAGACAATAATAGAGAGGAAAAAACCCTCGCCCCCCCCGCCCCACACATATGCAAAGACATTTTACTTTTGAACATTTCCAAGTGATAACCTTTAAATAAAAGTTGATGTGATGCAGACATTCTGCGATAGCATATATAGGGCAAGGTAATTTCTATATCAACATTTGCACTTTAAGTAACTGTGCAACAGAGATAATTTTGATTGACTGTATATTTTCTCAGTTCATTAGATTCATGTATATAATACATGACATAGAAATATACACTACAAGAGCTGCCCATTTATCCAAACAGCCTGCCCCCTCCCTTTTTTTTAGTTCACAATTTAAATAAGAAATGGAGTGGAGGGGTATAAGAAATTAAAGGTGGAAAGGAGGGTTCATATTTTCATAGTTTATTTTCTCCCCCAATTTCTTAGTGAACATTGAATAACAGTTTTGATTTGTCTGGTATTTAGACAGCCTTACCAAACAAACATATTGGAAACCTGCCAAATGGAATGCCACAATTTTATATTTCTCAATTTCAGTGAAAAATAAATAAATAAAGGCTTTGTAATAAATTAATGCCATGAGTGGGTTTTTCATCATTAATCTCCCAGTCAAGCTTCAAGAGAGACTGGACTTCTAAGAGTTGCCATGGTGTCACAAGATTCATGTTCACAGGATTCCACTTGACTTTGTAGCCTCTCATCTTTAACTGACATTACAAACCACTCATCACTTTCAGTGCAAGAAATTAATGCAGCGTACATAACAAGAGGAGCAGCAGCAACAGCAGTATCTTCTAGATTAAAAAAAAGTATTTTCTGAGTAAATGCTGGAAGGAGAACAGCTTCAATATTTGAGAGCCGGTATGATGTTGCCAATTACAGCCACAATTTATATTTCAGAAATCAGTGTAAAAGAGAATTTGCCCATTGTGGTGGTATCCTATTATCATTTCATAGAATATCAGGGTTGGAAGGGACCTCAGGAGATCATCTAGTCCAACCCCCTGCTCAAAGCAGGACCAATCCCCAATATTTGCCCCAGATCCCTAAATGCCCCCCTCAAGGAATGAGTCACATCCCTGGGTTTAGCAGGCCAATGCTCAAGCCACTGAGCTATCCCTCCCCACAAAATGTTGTGGCTTCCCTATGAGGGAATCGAACCCTGGTCTTCCATGTGACAGGCAGGGATACTTACCACTATGCTAATGAGGATTAATTAGACTGTCAACACATAGAAAGCTAGTGAGTGTTGTGCAAGTGAACTTTTGATGCTCAACCAAGAACAGGTTTCAGAATAGCAGCCGTATTAGTCTGTATTCACAAAAAGAAATTTGGGGACAATGTACACCTTCAAATCAGCAGCACTGCTATGAGTACCCGCATGGCCCCACAGTATGCCAATATTTTTATGGCTGACTTAGAACAACGCTTCCTCAGCTCTCATCCCCGAATGCCCCTACTCTACTTGCGCTACATTGATGACATCTTCATTATCTGGACCCATGGAAAAGAAGCCCTTGAGGAATTCCACCATGATTTCAACAATTTCCATCCCACCATCAACCTCAGCCTGGACCAGTCCACACAAGAGATCCACTTCCTGGACACTATGGTGCTAATAAGCGATGGTCACGTAAACACCACCCTATACCAGAAACCTACTGACCGCTATTCCTACCTACATGCATCCAGCTTTCA